AATTTTATTTATAATTAACTAAATTACTGTGGGCCTACTCATTACTAGGGCCTATATCTCCTTTAGGACCTATATCTCCTTCTGAACCTTTATCTCCCTTAGAACCTATATCCCCCTTGGGACCTATATCTCCTTCCGAATCTTTATCTCCTTTAGAACCTGTATCACCCAAAGGTGATAAAAAAGGTTCCAAAGAACCTTTATCTCCTTTAGGGCCTATATCTCCTTCTGGTCCTGTATCGCCTTTCTTACCAGTATCTCCCTTAGGTCCTGTATCTCCTTCATGACCTGTGTCACCTTTAGGACCTGAATTACCTTTCTGACCAGTATCGCCTTTAGGACTATCCCCTTTAGGACCCGTATCACCTTTAGGACCCGTATCACCTTTAGGACCCGTATCGCCTTTAGGACCGGTATCACCTTTAGGACCCGTATCGCCTTTAGGACCGGTATCGCCTTTAGGACCCGTATCGCCTTTAGGACCGGTATCGCCTTTAGGACCAGTGTTACCTTTAGGACCGGTATCGCCTTTAGGACCTTTGTCTCCCGAAAGACCTGTATCCCCTACAGGACCTTTATCTCCATCAGGACCTTCCGCAGGATTATCTATCTTTATTTCATCCTGCTTATTCAATTTATCATTATTTATGTAAATAACAAAAATCCATACTATTAGTGTCGTTATTATTACAACAATAAAAATATAGAAATATATACAACGTTGTTGTTAACGTACATTTTATATATTGTAAAATAATTAAATTTTAAAACTGTAAAATATTGAATATATTACAACTATATTTGTTATAACTGAAATTTTATATCAAATAGTAATTGTTATTAGTCTATATATCCTAATAAGTTATATTGGAGATGTTTATGTACAATAAATATTATAGTAAAATAATAAAATAAATAGTATATTTTGATTTATCTTTTATAACTAACCATAAACTTTATAACAATACAATATTGACTCTAAAAACAGTAACTCAGCCTT